GCTGAAGAGGAGGGAGGGAGGATTTCCTTGTGGCCACCACACCAAACTTCACTTTAATCAGATCACTGTGAAGTGAGTTTGGTATCTGCAGGTAAAAGCTAGAAGCTGTTGATCCTTAATTAGAGCAAACCGAGATACTGAACAATACTTCAAATGAGGACCTCAGCCTGGGAGCAAAAAGCCTTAGCTAAAGCTGGCAGGAGAAAACAAATACCGGATGTGGCCGGACAATAGGAAGCCTGGAGTCATCCCCAGCCCTGAGAAGATAAGGCTTCTCTGTTAGTGATGGAGATTATCGACTGCATCAGCTTAAGAAAAGCCTCTTAACACCTTGCTTTTCCAAAGAATTCTTCCCATCCCAAGAGTTAACCACGCAACTTTAGGTCAGCTCTGATTCCTTGAATTAAATTCTTGTTAATGTATCTTTTCTAATTCCTCAGCTTCCTCGTCCCCTCTGTTCTTTCTCCCAAGAGAGGAAACTCCTCCACTGTGGTGCTGTGGCTTTGTTTCTTTGAAGGGGGTACGCTTTTTTGCATTTGTTTGCATTGTACACTAGCCCTGCACCCCGAAAGAGCCTTTTACCGACAGCATCATTTTTGTATTTCTGGCTAGGTAAATGGCTTAGAATAGAAACTTAGGATTTAGTAATTTTTTAAACCCAGAAGTACGTTGTTGAAAAGACACAACTATCATTCATCTTCCGAATTACGATTAAATTAATAACTGAGAAATTCCCAAACATGTTTTCCAGGAATGACCTGTATTTTAAACGCCTGTGAGGCCTCCTGGACTTCTCTTCCTTTTTACTTATCTGGGGTTATGGACGTCAGGAGAGCAGGGGAGGGTTACAAGGTCAAAGTCTTTTCCTCCTTGGAACTTGCTGCTTGCTGGGAGAGGGTTGGCTGGAAAATAGATGCTTTAGAGAAGAGGTTGGGGGGTCACAATTTTAATTCTGTTAAAGCAACAGCTGGTTTGAGTTTCTTTCCACTTCTATCTCCTGCTCCCTTCCTCGCAAATCCATGGAGAGAAAAGAATTTGTTCAGAAGGTACCGACAAAATAAAAATACACCTTTTATTACGGTGGTGCTTTACCTGTGTTATCTTTGTTACAAGTTGCATGTTAAGCACTCAGGGGATAGGCTAGATTTTATAAAATGAACTACAGAGTAAAGATGGCCAGAGCTTTAGTCAGAATAACATTTTACAATACAGGATGCAGGCCTGCAAATTTCTTCGAATATTTTTTA